TGAAGTTGCTTATCTGCTTAAGGAGATTTTGGCCTGAGACGATGGAGTTTTCTAAATATACAATTATGTCATCTGCAACAGGGACAATTTGACTTCCTCTTTTCCTAATTGAATCCCCTTTATTTCTTTCTCTTGCCTGATTGCCCTGGCCAGAATTTCCAACACTGTGTTGAATAGGAGTGGTGAGAGAGGGTATCCTTGTCTTGTGCCAGTTTTCAAAGGGAATGTTTCCAGTTTTTGCCCATTCAGTATGATATTGGCTGTGGGTTTGTCATAAATAGCTCTTATTACTTTGAGATACGTTCCATCAATACCTCGTTTATTGAGAGTTTTTAGCATGAAGGGCTGTTGAATTTTGTCGGAGAGCTTTTCTGCATCTATTGAGATAATCATGTGGTTTTTGTCTTTGGTTCTGTTTATGTGACGGATTACGTTTATTGATTTGCATATGTTGAACCAGCCTTGCATCCCAGGGATGAAGCCTACTTGATCATGGTGGATAAGCTTTTTGATGTGCTGCTGGATTTGGTTTGCCAGTATTTTATTGAAGATTTTTTGCATCAATGTTCATCAGGGATATTAGTCTAAAATTCTCTCTCTTTTTTTTTTTTTTTGAGATGGAGTCTCGCTCTGTTGCCCAGGCTGGAGTGCAGTGGCCGGATCTCAGTTCACTGCAAGCTCCGCCTCCTGGGTTTATGCCATTCTCCTGCCTCAGCCTCCCGAGTAGCTGGGACGACAGGCACCCGCCACCTCGCCCGGCTAGTTTTTTTGTATTTTTTAGTAGAGACGGGGTTTCATCGTATTAGCCAGGATGGTCTCGATCTCCTGACCTCGTGATCTGCCTGTCTCAAAATTCTCTTTTTTTGTTGCGTCTCTACCAGGCTTTGGTATCAGGATGATGCTGGCCTCATAAAATGAGTTAGGGAGGATTCCCTCTTTTTCTATTGATTGGAATAGTTTCAAAAGGAATGGTACTAGCTCCTCTTTGTACCTCTGGGAGAATTTGGCTGTGAATCCGTCTCGTCCTTGACTATTTTTGGTTGGTAGGCTATTAATTATTGCCTCACTTTCAGAGCCTATTATTGTTCTATTCAGAGATTCAACTTCTTCCTGGTTTAGTCTTGGGAGGGCGTATGTGTCCAGGAATTTATCCATTTCTTCTAGATTTTCTAGTTTGTTTGCGTAGAAGTGTTTATAGTATTCTCTGATGGTAGTTTGTATTTCTGTGGGATTGGTGGTGATATCCCCTTTCATTTTTTATTGCATCTATTTGATTCTTCTGTCTTTTCCTCTTTATTAGTCTTGCTAGCAGTCTATCAATTTTGTTGATCTTTTCAAAAAACCAGCTCCTGGATTCATTGATTTTTTGAAGAGTTTTTTTTTTGTATCTCTATCACGGAACCTATTCTTAATGTGCAGAGTTTTCTTTTAAATCAGGTAGATGCTAGCTTTTCTCATGTACTTTTGCTACATCTATTGATATGGCCATATAAACTTTCTCCCTTATTTCACTACTGTGGTGAATTAGGTTGATTGATTTTCAAATGTTAAACCAACCTTACATTCTTAGAATAAATGGTATCTGGTCATGATGTGTCATTCTTTTTATATATGGCTGGATTTGATTTGGTATAGTAAGGGTTTTTGCATCTACATTCATGAATAACATTGGCCTATAATTTTTTGGAGGTGGATAATTCTTTTGTCTGTGATTTTTTTGGGGTGGAGCTAATGCTTTTGTCTGGATCCTTTTTATCAAGATTTACTAATATTTTCTTAAGGATTTAAAAAAATCTATATAGGTATATAATAAGTAGTTTATAATATTTTTACAATGCCTTTGGTTTTGGTATCAGGGTTATGCCGGCCTCATTAATTAAGAAATCTTCTCACCTCTTCTGTTTTCTGAATGAGTTTGTTTAACATTGAGGGTTTTTTTTTTTTTTTATTCTTTCTTAAATGTTTGACAGAATTAGGAGTGAAACCATCTGGGCCTATTGTTTTATTTGTGGGAGAGTTTTGATAATAAATTCGTTAATAGGTATAGGCTATTCAGATTTTCTATCCCATGTTATGTCTGTTTTGGTAGGTTGTGGCTTTTTTTTTTAGCTGTATTAATCAATTGTATTGATTTTTTTCAAGGATTGATTTATGGCTTTTTAAGTTTTCTTTGTTATTTGTTTTATACTTTATTGATTTCTGCTCTTTTTCTGCCTTCTACTTATTTTGGCTTTTTTTGTTCTTTTAGCTTTAATAAGGTGGAAAATAAAGTCACTGATTTTGTGCCTTCTTCCCTAATATAAGCATTTAAAGCTTTAATTTACCTCTAAGAACTACTTTAGTAGTTGCGTCTCACAGATTTTGGTACGTTTTATTTTCATTGTAGTTCAGTTTGAAATATTTTTAATTTCTCATATGCTTTCTTCTTTGATCCAGTGATTATATTAGAAGTTGTTTAATTTTTAAATGTCTGGATTCTCCAGATACTCTTCTGTTATTGATTTCTAATTTGACTAAAAAGAACATAAAAGATATATTTTATATGATTTTAACCTTTTTCCATTTATTGAGAATTGATTATTGCATAATGTATTATCTCCTATGTTGAATATCCCAGGTGTACTTGAATGTTTATTCTTTAGTTGGATGTAATGTTTTACAAATTTCAGCTAGGTAAAGGTGTTGATAATGTTGTTCAGCTCTTCTATGTCTTTATTGATTTTATGTCTTGTTGATCTACTTTTTTTTAGAGACATGTTAAAATCCTCATAATTGGGATTGTGGAATTGTCTGTTTCTTTCTTTGATTCTGGCAGTTTTTGCTCCTTATATTTTGAAGCTCTGTTATTAGATACATAAACAGTTATGATTGTCATGTCTTGTGATAAATTAACTCTTTCATTATCATGAAATGTCTGTCATTATTGCTTGGTAATATACTTTATCTTGAACTCTACTATATATAATATTAATATAGACATCTAGCCTTCTTATGTTTACTGCTTATTTACTGTATCTTTTTCTATCCTTTTACTATATCTTTTTCTATCCTTTTATTTTCAACCTATCTGTGTCTTTATATTTAAAGCATGTTTCTTAAGATGGGAGCAGTACAAACTGGAGACTACTTATGGGAGGAGGAGGGGAGTGGGGCAAGGGTTGAAAAACTGCCTATTGGGTACTTTGCACACTACCTGGGTGATGGGATCGTTTATACACCAAACCTCAGTGACACACAATTTACCCATTAAAAAAATCTGCACACGTACAATCTTAACCTAAAAGAAAAGTCGGAACAAAAATAAACTATGTTTCTTGTAAACAGCAGATAGTTTTGCTTTTTTATTCATTCTGACAGTCTTACCTTTAATTGAAAATTAGTGTGATTAGTCAATTTACATTTAACATAAATGGTTGGATTTAGGTCTGCCATTTTACTAATTGTTTTCTGTGTGCTTAATCTGTTTTTTGTTTCTTTCTTTGTCTTTGCAGTGTTTTCTCAAGGTTACTCTAGGGATTAAGTATACACCTCTAATGTTTCATAGTCATCTTAGAGTTAATATTATAATACTTCATATGAAATATGAGGATGTTGAATACATATAGTCCATTTATTCCCCATATCCATTATGCTATAGCTATCATATGTATCATATCTACAGACATTATAAATGTTATAACTTTTGCTTTAAACAAGCCATATTCATTTTAAGGAAATTTATAGGGAAAAAACCTTATTAACTATATATTTACAATTTTGGGGTCTCTTCATTTCTTCCTCAAAACTTAGTAATTAATACTATAGGAGAAACTCCTCCCCTAATATTGTATGGCAGTGGTTCTCAACTGGAGTGCTTTTGCTCCCACCCCCTCAGGGGACTTTTGGCAGTTTCTGGAAACATGTTTAACTGTTACAACTAGGATAGGAGTTTCTACTGTCATCTGGTGGGTTGAGGCCAGGGATACTGGTAAACATTCTGTGAAACTCATAACAACTAAAAACATAAGCTGAGATTGGGAATCCCTGTTTTATGATGAATGTTCTGAGAAGAACTAGTGAAATTCTCTTTTGACATGCAACTTTCAAGTTTTCTTACATCTGTCATATGATTTACTGGAATTTAATAAATATCTAGGCTGGGTGTGGTGGCTCATGCCTGTAATCCCAGCACTTTGGGAGGCTGAGGCGGGCGGATCACGAGGTCAGGAGATCGAGACCATCCTGGCTAACACAGTGAAACCCCATATCTACTAAAAATACAAAAAATTAGCCAGGCGTGGTGGCGGGCACCTATATTCCCAGCTACTCAGGAGGCTGAGGCAGTAAAATGGTGTGAACCCGGGAGGCGGAGCTTGCAGTGAGCTGAGATAGCACCACTGTACTCCAGCCTGGGTGACAGAGCAAGACTCCGTCTCAAAAAAAAAAAAAAAAAAAAAATCTATAACTTATACCATTGTCTTTGGCCAATAAAGAAAAAGAATATTTGCCCGTATGACTAGTTTTCTTGGAGCAGTTTGTGGTTGTTAAACTACTATAAAAAGTTTTTTGTAAAGAAGGAGAAAAAAAATGAATATATCATTTTGAATCGAGTGATATGTAGTCCAGCCAGTTGGATACTTTAATGGAAGTACCTTGAACTAGAAACAAAGCTTTTCTCCCCTCATCTCTGCAGAAAAGCAGCCTGCAGCCAGTATTCTCTTTGAGTTGATAATGACTCCTGCACAGCCTATTTATTTGGAGAGGTCAGGATTACTTTCAAATATTTTGTTTCTTTTCACATTTTTGCACAACAGAGTTGAGGGGTAGGAGTTTGATTTGTCCTTCAGGTTTATTGAACCTACCAAATAATACAGTGTGCTTTCAGATGATACTATCTTGACTCATATAATCAAAATATTTTTAAAGAAACAACTTAGAATCAGAGTTGTTTTTCAAGGGCAAGCACAAAACATTATTAAGATGCCAAATATAAATAAATGCCATATCTTTTTGTATGATAGGTTGGACAGCACTTCATGAAGCTAGTGTAGGAGGATTTTATCGGACAGCAAGTGAACTATTAAAAGGTGGAGCAGATGTAAATATCAAAGGAATGTACCAGATTACTCCCCTACATGATGCAGTGGTGAATGGACATTATAAGGTACTGTGATGCTTTTATTTGCAGAACAAATAATATATTTTGCAAATATTAAATATCTCTGGAACCACACAATAGAAAAACATACAGAAATTTTAGTTTAATTTCATTCTGCTAATGAATACTTAGAATTTATAATGAAATTTTACTATGTGATGGATTTGTTGTGTGTAATATGATAGGTGTCATTTTACATGTTACTTTTAATAACCATACAGAGCTTTTTGGTTACACAGTATTTTTTCAACTTGTTCTCCTTTAAAACTCCTTCAGTATGGTGCTTTATAGAGTTTAGAAGAATGTTTCCTTCTTATAGATTGTTACATAGTTATGTCCAGTCCTGACAGGAGATTTACAGCTTTATGGAGTCTAGTGTCCCTTTCATAATGGGCCTAATACAGGAGAATGTTTCTGATCAGTTCAGCTTAATGATCAGCCAGGATATATCAGCAGAACTGTACTGCAGGTTAAAATATCAGACTACTATAATTGCATACCAGTTGGTTAATAGTAACTGCAATAAATGGTAACATTAAGATTATGAATTCTAGTATACAAGGTTTATCTCAGAAACCATATTAGCTTACTACATATTTTTTCTGGTCCCGGAACAACATTGCAGGGCTGAGGCACTTGCTGAAGGTATCCTATTATTTATTTCATGTATTAGAAGTTGCCCTCTGTGTTTAAAAACTTCTAGGATGGGAAAGGGTATTAACCACCTGGGATCAAGATTTGTTCTGCCTATTTCCAGAAGAAATGCCTAACATAGGCAGAGGTGGAGAAGGCTGCTGGGATCCATGGGAATAGATAGGGCATATTCCTTCATAGTATGAAACAGTACTTCAGAAGGGTTTAGGCAGTTTTTTTGTTGTTTGTTTTTCATTGTTTGTTTGTTTATTTGTTTGATAATGTATATCTTTGTGATGGGTGGTCATTTTTGCATATAGTTTAGAGGACTAGGAGGAGAGAATTCTTCCCAGGATCCAGTTTAATGGCCAGAAGAATGCAGGCTTGGACGTGTGACGGTGTGAATCCTTTCTCTGTCAGAAAGCAGAGAAACCTCATGCCAAAGCACTTCTTCTGTCTAACCCCGTAGCCCATTTGCGCCCTTACTTTCCAGGGCTGACCTATACTGATCAAGAGTCTTTTCTTCCTTTGAGTAAAGTGAGCCCTGAGGATTTTAATTTTTCTTCTTTTCTTTCCTATTTGTTCCTTTGCCCCACCTCGAACTTGGCTCCAATCCATTTCTGCCTCACAGTCTAGCATTGGCTGTCTCCTATTTGGCCTTTGCATATGTGAAATAATTAGTTCCTTCAATGATGTTAAAGGAACCAAAGACACAGGCCTCTTCCCAGAATCCAGTTTCCCCACTTACTGCATTCCCTCTTGCCATCCTCCAATCTCCCTGTGGTTCATATGCTTCTGGCACCATGTCATATCCTGACTAGTGGTGAGAGAAAATGAGAATGACAAGACAGGAGTGGAAATCTAGAGAGCAGTCATGAAAATTAAAAGCTGAAATCAGTAGTTGGGGTGACGTGAGGCAAGGATGATCAGAGAAATGGCCTAGGCCCTGGGAATTGGATTGCTCAAATGCCTTTGGTGTCACAGGAGTAAAGATGTCAAACAGGGAAGCCTTGGGAACCCAATGCTTGTCTTACTATCTGGGGAGTGTGAGCTTCTTTAAGCATCTGGAGAGTTAAAGGAACTAGAATATATTATCTTACAGGTCTTAGTTGTTATATTGGAGAGATACTAAAAGATAATATCCTGCTTTCTAAAAGTGAAAAAGCCATTTAAAAAATCCACATCTTATGATTCTGTTAATTTGAAATACCCATAATAGTCAAATCTATAGAGACAGATTAGAGATGGGAGGTCTAGAGGGTGGGGAATGGTGAGTGACAACTAATGGTTAAAGGGTTTCTTTTAGGGGGAATGACAATGTTCCAAAATTAGATTGTGGTAATGGTTGTACAACCATCTTAATATACTAAAAAACAATGAATTATATTCTTTAAATAGGTAGACTGTGTGGCATGTGAATTACATCTTAATAAAAGTGTTAATAAATACATTTTTAAAAGAGTTGAAAAGTTGGAATTTGAGAATTACAAATGATCAGCTCAGCGTTATTCCTTAGAAAATGTGCAACAAGTTATTAAATATATGGTTAGAAGATATAGGCAAGAATGTAGTACTCTTTGGAAATCATAGGCATCACTAAGAACAAGTCATGCCAGACTAACCTTTATTTCTCTTTTATTAGATTTACTTTGTTAGTAGGTGAAGGCAATGGCATTGAAATAAGCTATCAAAACTTTAACAAAGATTTTATTTGGAGTATCCAGTAATCTGTGAGTGTATGGGATGTTGAATTGAAGGGGTTTGTTGGCATTGATTTGGGGATTCACATATATTGAAAAAATAGACCTCAGACATGGTGATTATTCATTTTATGTGGGTTTACAGTTAACTATTTTTTGTTTTTGTTTTTGTTTTTAGACAAGAGTCTCCCTCTGTCAACCAGGCTGGAGTATAGTGGTGTGATCTCCGTTCACTGTCACCTCTGCCTCCTGGCCTCAAGCGCTTCTCGTGTCTCAGCCTCTTGAGTAGCTGGGATTACAGGCGTATATCACCATGCTCAGCTAAGTTTTTGTATTTTTAGTAGAGATGGGGTTTCACCAGTTTGACCAAGCTGGTCTCGAGCTCCTGGCCTCAAGTGATTCACCCACCTCTGCCTCCCAAAGTGCTGGGATTACAGGCATGAGCCACCGTGCCTGGCCTTTCAGTAAACTCTCTTGTGAAAATTGATTATACATTCTATTATGCGGTAGAACTCTGGCCTGTTTGGCTAGAACATGAACTGATTTTGTTATTGGAGTATTTTAAAGAAATCCCAGACATCATACTATTTTACCCATAAAAAACAATTTTTCATACTTGCAATATCATTTCACCTAATAAAAGTTAAGTTTCTTTATACCATTTAACATCCAGTCTATATCCAAATTTCTGAGGTTATCTAAAAAATGTGTTTTTATAGAAAGTTTTAATTTGAATTAGAACACATCAAGCTTCATGTATCATATGTATTTGTTATGTATCTTAAATGTGTTTTAATCTACAGCAGTCCTTTCTATATTTTAGGGGTTTTATGTCTCCTGTTTGTTGAAAAATGTGGCTTATTTGTCCTGTAGAATTTCCCAAATTCTGGTTTTGGCTCATTTTTTCTTTGTGGTATTGTTTAGCTTATTTCTTCACGTATTTTCTGTAAATCGTTATGTTTTAATGGAAAAATCTACTCAGAGACCATAGCCTGGGTGCAACCACTGCTATTAGGTATTTTCAGTGAACTATATCCTTTTAGAAAGGAAAAAAAAATCATGAGTTTATACTGATATTTTCATTTCAGACTTCATAGCATAGATTTATGCTTAACTTTGGTTCTCTGCCTACTCGTATGTCTTTTTTTAAGCTAAACATTTGTTTCTTTTTTTTTTTTTTTTTTTTTTTGAGACGGAGTCTCACTCTCTCACCCAGGCTGGAGTGCAGTGACCGGATCTCAGCTCACTGCAAGCTCCGCCTCCTGGGTTTACGCCATTCTCCTGCCTCAGCCTCCTGAGTAGCTGGGACTACAGGCGCCTGCCACCTCGCCCGGCTAGTTTTTTGTATTTTTTAGTAGAGACGGGGTTTCACTGTGTAGGCCGGGATGGTCTCGATCTCCTGATCTCGTGATCCGCCCGTCTCGGCCTCCCAAAGTGCTGGGATTACAGGCTTGAGCCACCATGCCTGGCCAACATTTGTTTCTTAATACAGTAATTGAATTATTTATCATCTAATATACTTACAATATTACTATTAACAATGCCAGTATTACTATTAACAGTGAAACTACTAATGATGTTTATTTTGGTAGTTCTTTTTCTTAAAGTATATTCCATTAGAGATGAAGAGTCAGAATACTGTCTTTTGAAGTACAAGTTGAATATTCTTTGTTTGAAATGCTTGGGACTAGCAGTGTTTAGGATTTTGATTTTTTTTTTTTGATTTTGGAATATTTGGACTTTAAATCTTTATGATCAAATGGTCCATACCATGGAAGTGGTTACAAAAAATTACAACTCTGAAAGCATAAGACATTGAATCACAACAAAGGGCACAATCTAATTGGAAAAGCTATAAAATGTCTTGGAGAGAAAAATGCCATATCACAGGGACAATATGAGTCAAATCCCTTAAAAATTATTAAGACACGGCAACTTAAAAATTCTACCTTTCAAACTCCTTTACATTGGGAATTTAAGACTAGGTAGGGAAACTGAAAGCAATGGTAGATACAATTAAATCTCTAATTCATATATAAGCCATATACAAGCAAAACATAAAGAATTTATGCCTGGGTATTCACATTTTGTTCAGCAAAGAAAATACAGAATGCATTGGTTTCTTTCAGGAAAATAGTTTTGTAAGGAGATTGCTTTAAGAGCTGTGGTGTTTATCTCTGGAGGTTTTGTGTCAAATTCAGAATCAAGGAGCATGAAAAAAAAAGGTATGGAGGAAGGGAAAAGGCAGAAGCTAGAGCCTCAATCTTCTGGAAATCCAGCTGGTGATCCCAAGGGAGTGAATACATTACTTTGGCAGTAACTAATACTTTGGCAGTCCGTTCACCAACTGTCTGCACTTACCAATTTCCTCTGTAGCCCAATACTTGGAATTCTGAAGCCTGCTTATGTAATCTCTACCTTTAAAAAGCTCTCCCCTCACCAAAGAGTAATAAATGACTTTCATTGAGTATCCATCTACTTTAAACCTACATTTAGGTTCTGTGTTAGTTACCTGTTGCTACCTAACAAATTACCATAAAACTTAAAATAATAATAAACATTTATCATGTTGCAGTTTCTGAGAGTCAGGAATTTCAGAGTGGCAGAGGTGAGTGGTTCTGTCTAAGGGTCTCTCATGAGGTTGTAGTCAAGATGTTGACTGGGAACACAATC